GGGCTGCGCTCACCTTTGTAGTCCGACAGCTTCACCTCTTTGAAGGCGCCGTCAACCACGGCTGTGGCCTTGAAGTCAGGGGCTGGCTTTCCGATGCGCGCGTTACCGGAGGCCATGACTGAAAGCTGAGACCCCTGTCCGGTCAGTGCGCCCGGGAAGACCCTTTGTCCTCCCACCCCAAGGTCGCGCTGCGTGCTGGGCCCTGTGACTGAGTCAGCACGGCGGAGGCGACAGCACCAACCCTCACCCTCCCGGGTACCGGGTCTGCGAAGCCCAGAGGCTGCCGGAGACCCGCTCTCCTGACCAGAGCACGAGTGACCCAGCCACTGCCACTAGCACCCCACGAGCGAGTGGGCCGGAGCGCGGTGTCGCAAGCCCCAAGTCCAGAAGGAGACAGTGAGGCCCCCTCGAGCAGGGGGCGGGGAACAGGGCGATCGGGCCTGCACTGCAAGGCTGTGGCCTCGGTTTCCCCCGCAAGGACAAAGGAGGCCACTACAGCGGATGGAAAACAAAGGCGGCCAGCACTGAGGTCAGGATCCGGCCAAAGCAGCTTGAAGGGGGTCCTCCCGCCAGGTGCACTCTGTGTGTCTATACCTGCGTGGGCAAGGGCTAGACGCACGGACGATCACACGCGTGGACCCGCGTTCTCAGCGCCAAGTGAGCCCTGGGCCGCGGAGCCTTTTATGCCCGGCCGGAACCAAGACGTGCGCTGCGCAGGGGAGGGAGCAAACGAGCGGAGCGGTCGGGTCCACTGCACCCTCAGGTGCGGGGGAGCGTGCGGCCGGGTCCATGCGCCTGCGGGAGCCGGGGGGAGACGTGTTGCCTTCGGCCGGGACCACTGCACCAGCTCGCGGGGGTAATGCGGCCGCCGCAGACTCCGCGCACAACTCTGCCTGCGAGCGTGCTGGGTGCCGTTGGAGTCGGGCATGGCCCGGACCCCGGCGGCGCTGCTGCTGGCGCCTCTGCTACTCCTGCCGCTGGCGACCCCTGCCCAGGTCTACCAGGACTATCAGTACTTCGGCCAGCAGGGCGAAGGTGACACCTGGGAGCAGCTGAGGCTGCAGCATCTAAAGGGTAACCTCAGGCGGCGGGGGTGACGATGTCCATAGGCTCCCCGTTGCCCTACTTCTCCTGCTGGCTGCAAAGGGACCTTCCTCCGCGGGCTGCAAATCTCCACCCAGCTCTGCACTGGAGGCGTCCCCTTGGGCTGGTTACTGTTCTCTGAGGCTCGGTTTACTCTTGGATACGTTGAAATAGATACTGCTTTAAAGCAGCTCCCAGGGGAAGAGGGTGTGGGTAGGACATTGAAGCTGTCACTCGGGGATAGGTGCCAGGAAGGGCAGAAGCAGAGAAAGAAGGGGGCGGGCAAGCTTGGGAAGTCAGAGAGGGTCCGGTTGCAGAAGACCCGTGACCAGTGCAGCGAGAACGACAAGCGAAAACCCCAAATGGAAAGATTTGGGGAAAGAATGTCCAAGAAAGAGGGAATAGCAAGTGCCAAGGTGAAAAGGCCTAAAGGAGAAATGGGAAGAGGTCGGTGAGGTGTGGCAGAGTGGGTGTGGGAGGGTAGCAGGTGTCAGATCTTGGTGAGCCGCGAGTTGGGGTAAGATCGGACTTGGAGGCCTGGCGCGATGGCTCAAGCCTGTAATCCCAGCACTTTGGGAGGCCGAGACGGGCGGATCACGAGGTCAGGAGATCGAGACCATCCTGGCTAACATGGTGAAACCCCGTCTCTACTGAAAAACACAAAAAAACTAGCCGGGCGAGGTGGCGGGCGCCTGTAGTCCCAGCTACTTGGGAGGCTGAGGCGGGAGAATGGCGTAAACCCAGGAGGCGGAGCTTGCAGTGAGCTGAGATCTGGCCACTGCACTCCAGCCTGGGCGACAGAGGGAGACTCCGTCTCAAAAAAAAAAAAAAAAAAAAAGATCGGAGTTGGGATAAGATCTGTCTCATAGGGGAAAGGGTCAGATTCAGTAAAGAGCCCTTTGAAGTGATCATAGTGGCCGCGAGGTAGCTCACACCTGTAATCCGAGCACTTTGGGAGGCTGAGGTGGGAGGATCCCTTGGTCTGAGACCAGTCTAGCCTGGCCCACATAGCAAGACTCCATCTTTACAAAAAAGACTTTAAAATTAGCCTGACCTGATGGCCTAGCACTTTGGGAGGCTGAGGCGGAAGGACTGCTTGAGCCCAGGAGTTCAAGACCAGCCTAGGCAACATGGAGAGACCCCCTTCTCTACAAAAATAAATAAATAAATAAAAACAAAAAATAAATTAGCCTGCCATGGTGGCATGAGTCTGTCCCAGCTACTCAAGAGGCTGATACAGGAGGACCATTTGTGCCAAGGAATTTGAGGCTGCAGTGAGCCATGATTACGCCCTTACATTCCAACCTGGGTAACAGAGCAAGATCCTGTCTCAAAAAATAAAAATAAAAATAAAAAATAAAAAATAAACCTGATCATAAAAATTTGGTTTGTATATGCTAGCGCAGCACCAGGAGATTTACTTACCTTCATTCTGTCAATTATGCCATTTATCACTTGATAGCCCTGCTGGTCAGTTGGCATTGTGCCTGCTTCAGGGCCATGGTCACAACCCTGAAGACAGAAGTCAGCATCAGATGGCGGGCACCAAGGATGTTATAGGACACTCACAACTGTGCAGGCTGGCACAGCCTGAAAGTGTCAGGTTGTAGTTCCTCTGAGCCACTTACCCTGTGTATGAGCTTGGGAGGTTGGCTTGCTGTCTCTTGGTTTCCCCACCTGAGACTCATGGAAAGATTAAATGAGGCCAGACATGGTGGCCGGCTCACACCTGTAATCCCAGCACTTTGGGAGGCTGAGATGGGAGTATCACTTGAGCCCAGGAGTTTCAGACCAGCCTGGGCAACATGGTGAAGCACCGTCTCTGCAAAAAATTAGCCAGGCATGGTGGCATGTGCCTGTAGTCCTAGCTACTTGGGAGGCTAAGGTAGGAGGATTGCTTGAGCCCAGGAAGTTGAGGCTGCAGTGAGCTGTGACTGTGCCACTGCACTCCAGCCTGGGCGACAGAGCGAGACCCTGTCTCAAAAAAAAAAAAAAAAAAAAAAAATTAAATGAGATAGTCTACGGGGGAGTGCCTGGCATAGAGGCAGAGTCTAGCGAATATGCGCTTCTCTTATTTGTTAGTATCTTTATCTTTCTTCCTCTCTGGGGGAGGGGATTGGGAGTAGGCCGCCTCCACGTAGGTCTTCACCTCTGCCCTCCTTCTCTAGAAGTCGAGGACTCAATCCTTGGCCCGTGGGGAAAGTGGCGGTGTCTCTGCGACCTGGGCAAGCAGGAGCGCAGCCGCGAGGTAGTCGGCACAGCGCCAGGCCCAGTTTTCATGGACCCGGAGAACCTGATCCAGTTAGGACCCTGCCGGCAACGGGATTGTCCATCCTGCAAGCCCTTCGACTGCGACTGGAGGCTCTGAGCCCGAGTGAGAGAGGGGCCCAGAGGACGCCGGGCCGGGGCAAGCCGCGGGGCCCAGGGTGGGCGCGGAGGGAGGACGTGCGGTGCGTGGCGGGTATGAAGTGAGTTTGGGGAAGGGAGAACTGGGGCTCCAAGTCTTGAGTGACTTGAAGCTGATATGGTTAGGCGGAAGCTGAGTCAGGAGCCGAGAGCCCCGCTGATATCTAGGGAGAAAGGCAGAAAAATGGAGGGGGCGCTGGGCGCTAGGACTCACGCCTATAATTCCAGCATTTTGGAAGGCCAAGACAGGCGCATCTCTTGAGTCCAGGAGTTCAAGACCAGTCTGGGCAATATAGTTGAGATCATCTCTCCATAAAAATTTTAAAAATTAGACGAGCGTGGCGGCACTTGCCTGTGGTCCCAGCTACTCGGTAGGATGGGGAGGGAGGATCGCTTGAGCCTGGGAGGCAAAGGTTACA